GGTTTGTGATGCATAGATTAGAAGTGACCTTTACCCACCCAAACAATGCGTTTAAGAACATTTGTACACATTTTTTTGTTCTTTAAGATTGGTGTTTTTGTGCTTGTGTGTGCTCATCAGTGCAGCATCTGAGTCATAAATGATGATTTTAAACGATGACATGTTTTAGGGGTTCAGTTGGTACGAGTTACAAAATTTCATTGTCAGGACAGGCACTTCATGAGCTAAACTTTTTGATTTACAAGAGAAGACAGTCTGAGTGTGTGCCAGTATGTGAAAAGAAACAACGGTAAAGACTGAAAGAAAACTTTTAAAGCATATGAAACAGATTTAATTGACAGAATGCAGCTCTAACATTGGAAATGCAAATCAATGATTAGAGTATCAATGATCACAACATTATCCTTTTTCTGCATCTGTTTGAACATTTGATTTGCTGTGTCAGTATGGCCGCTGCAGAAAACATCTTTCTTTATCACTAATTTTGTATCACATTCTTTAAAGCTGCACTAATTAATGCATTATTAATACAATACATCCAAGAACTACATGTAATATGAAAACTGTCAATTTATATTGTAATTATCAGTCGACTGTAGTTCCCTTCAGCTCTGTGAAGTGTTTTGGGGACTTTGATCTCATTGTTTTGGTTTTATGTCCCTCAGCTTTAGTTTTTTGGTTCACTCTCACTGCTCTCATAGCATTGTTTTGATCAAAAATGCACTGATAAACCCATTGTACACTTCCTGCACAGCACCAAATGGCAGACAGACAAAGTTAGCAACTAGCTGGGAAAATAGTGAAGCTTTCAGTGGCTAAAGAAGCAGATATTTGCCTCAGGAGCTGGTCTAAGCCAAAACAGAGTAAAAATGACTTGGGTTCATCATCATCATCAAGTAGCCAGAAAGTTCAAATTCATGCTAATGCTGCTTTGTGTCTGTGTCTGCTGCATGTGGAAATAAGGAACTGTTTGCTAACATGTTTGTCATATCAACTTCATAAGAGGATAATGTATATATGTGTATATACATTTTATCTTTCTGCAAAATATAACAAAGAATTAATGTTACTGTAAATAATCTATTTTTTGCAGTAAAGGCCCACTTTTCTGCACAGATCTGGTGACAGACGCTCATTTCTCACAGCAGGGTTTTTCTACTGTGCTGATACGTTGATCTAACAACTGTAATCAATCTGTATTGTTCATTATTATTCACCCTCTAATTATTATATTACTTTTCAGATTACAACACCAAGTTTCCCAGTAGTGGTGAAGATCGGACACGCCCACGCTGGAATGGGAAAAGTAAGGTTGCTCTTCTCCTCTTGCTGAAGACAGAATTTATTTAGCCATTTTACTTTTTTGTTATTTTGCTAACTTAATGTGCTAAATTGAGTGATAGTCTACGCACATGAAAGACTGGACCTCCCGAAATTAGCATTCAACATTTAAACATTTAAATGGTACTGGCATCAAATGACTTTGTCTTGTTTCGGTGGAAGACACATTCATGCATTAGTAAAATGGAGAAAATAGCTGCATGTTATACTGAAGCCCACCCATTAGACAGTTGCATCCTTTACCAAATTGCCATTGGGAAGTGCTTTAAAATCCCTCTGTGTGCCTAAAGATAGTTGAATGGTTTTCACTAAGCCCCACCACGCCTGGAACCACATCGTCTGTAATGTTTAATGCTTTCTCTGACGTACACTACCACCTAATTCTCTGCTTTCCTCTTATCTGTCTTTCCTTATCCTCTCCTCCTCTCTTGACTGCAGCACTAACTTTTATATTCCTCCTCAGTCCTCCTTTTCCTATTCCTCTCATTGATTGACAAGTGTGTTAATATTTTCTGTGTGTGAAATCAGATTAAAGTGTTTATCCTCTCTCTACCACTCCTCATCGATCCGCCTCGCATCACTCCCCTGAACTGCTCAGCCTGATCTGTGTTATTGTCCTCTCTCTCTGTCTATCTGGGCCTCTTATCATCCTGTACCTTTTTGCCTTCCTTTATCCTACCATTTTATCTCTTATATACTGTATCTGTTTCGCAGCAGTTGTTTCTTCCCTCCGAGAGGAATAGTTCAAGAAGGTCATAGGTACAGGGGGAGAGCACCAGTACACTAGTTTCCACTTTGCTTTTTTTTTATTAAAGTGGACTTTCTGGATATTGACAGTGGCTACAACATAGCCATCACGTCATTTTATCCCCATACTCCCTGACCCAGGACTTTAATGGGGTCTACATTATTGATTATATGACAGTATTCAGACACCACAAATGGAAATTACAAACCGAATGCATCACTCATGAACAGCATCCTTTACATGTATATTTTGTACCCTTTGTATTGACCCTTTGTGCATGCTTGAAGAAATAGTTTGACACTTCGTTTAATGCTGAGTTGGACAAGAAGATTGACACACGTTCATGTTCACACAAAATTTGTAGCTGGATCCAGCAAGCAGTTATTTTCAGGGGGGCACAGCTAGCCTAGCTCTGTTAGGTGAAGACAAAAATCTGTTTCAGTATATATTAAACCAGATGTGTTTATTGTTCGTTTATAAGTACTTTAGAGGCACTCGTAGGTGAATTTTCTTACCTTTGGACAGAGCCAATTTAGCCGTTTACTTCTTTGAGTCTTTATGCTAAGCTAACTGTTAAGCTAACTATTGAGCTCCTGGCTCTGGCTTCATCTTTAACATACAGCTGTGAGACTGGTATTAATCTTTTCATCTAACTCTCAGCAAGAAAACAAACACTGAACCACTATTATAGTAAACAAAACAATGTAAAAGATTGTG